AGGCATAGAACAAGGGAAGTCATGGTGAAACAGTTAAGAACTTTGGCCCATACGATTAAAAGACGATTTTGTCTGACTTGAGGACAAAATGTTGTGTAAATTATTTGACCTAAAACGAGAAAATCTGAATGTGTTTAATGTTTACTTTTGCTGCCAACTTATAAAGTGTGAACGTATATAAGGACACATCACAACACTAACACAAACAGAATAACCACAGACACGATAGCAAGCAAGAACAAAGATAACATAAACCATGACGAAACTTAATCTGTCATCGTATTCGCGCTAAGAGAGGTTACGATAGCGGATTTCTGCGTGACCGACAACTTCAATTACACACAGAAATCCCAATAGCGTGATGGATCAAATGAACAAACAAATCCACAAGGGCTGAGATCCGTCGTAGGTCAAGTTGAACTCCCAGTTACAATTCTCTTTACCATGTCGTAGCTCAGTCGATTAAGGATCCTCTTGGACGTAAGTTCGAACCCTCATCACGGCCCTTGTGGATTTGTTCAGACAACTTCAACTCAACCCCACCATAATCCTGACGACAAAATGAAGCTGTTCAGAGGCTTCACGACCAATCAGAGGAAGCCAGGGGCCAGATTCACGAAAGCACTTACGAACCTGTACATCTTTTCTCAATCTTTGGCGGTTTTGTTTACAATTATTAAACAGTTAATGAGCTCCGAAGCACCAGGAGGCTGTTTATAACAATAACAACAGTTGATTGGCAAGTTTTCATGCTTGTAAACTGTTTAATAAATGTAACCAAAGCCATCAAAAATTGAGGAAAGATGTACACGTTCGTAAGTGCTTGCGTAAGTGCTTTCGTGAATCTGGAGCCAGGAATGCAAAAAACGCCCTCGAGGCGTAGAAATTTATTAGGCAGAAATGAAAATCGATAAAACCCATTCAAGATTTCCTCTACGAAGGTAATAACTGGTGAAGAGGTGAACTTAATGATCGTTAGCCGCGAATTGTCAACGCCGCTCCAGATGGAATTCCCCCCCCCCCCACGGGCAAGACCTCATAATGGCCGCTTGAGAACGTGCGCGTTTTAACAGATGCCAGACAACTTGCGCGTTTTAACAGATGTCAGACAACTTGCGCGTTTTAACAGATGTCAGACAACTTGCGCGTTTTAACAGATGTCAAACAACTTGCGCGTTTTAACAGATGTCAAACAACTTGCGTGTTTTAACAGATGTCAGACAACTTGCGCGTTTTAACAGATGTCAAACAACTTGCGCGTTTTAACAGATGTCAGACAACTTGCGCGTTTTAACAGATGTCAAACAACTTGCGCGTTTTAACAGACGTCAAACAACTTGCGCGTTTTAACAGATGTTAGAGAACTTACGCGTTTTAACAGATGTTAGAGAACTTACGCGTTTTAACAGATGTTAGAGAACTTACGCGTTTTAACAGATGTTAGAGAACTCCTAATTTACTCTCCTGTTCTGCATATCCTTTGGCTAAAAAGATTTAGTTGCCACAACCTGTTTAAGTATTCTATCCTGGACCTGTTTTTCTCCTCAGCCGGTGCTTCCATGATTTTGAAATCCCGCAGTTCTCCAATTTTGGACATTTTAGAGTGTATTTACTATTTGTGTCTGCAGAATCGTGCTATTAGCTCTTGGACCCCGCCTTTCTAACCAGTCCTTTTCCCTGTATTATGTCTATTATATATATTTCTAACACACGTACACACACAGATACACACATAGGAAGCAGCCCGTAGCAGCTGTGTAAATCCAAGGTATATATTTACTTGTTGGTGAACAGACTTATCAGGGAGAAAGAAACTCGGCCCATTTGTTTCCGCCACGGCCAGGAATCGAACCCGGGCCCTTATAGGGCTACGACTCCCGAGCGCTGTCCACTCGGCCGCGAGGCCCTTGTAGCCGTATGTGTGTGTGTGTGTACTCACCTAATGGGTTTTCTGTGGTTGAGCTTCGTCTCTTTGGTCCCGCCTCTCAACCATTGATCAACTGGTGTACAGGGTCCACAGCCTATTGGGCAATATCTCCCACTCTGGTATTTCGTTATTTCAGTAGTTTCTCCATGTCCCTCCAACCCCTTGGGCCGGACGGTAGAGCGACGGTCTAGCTTCATGCAGGTCGGCGTTCAATCCCCGACCGTCCAAGTAGTTGGGCACCATTCCGTCCACTCCCCCCCCCCCCTGTCCCATCCCAAATCCTTATCCTGACCCCTTCCCAGTGCTATATAGTCGTAATGGCTTGGCGCTCTCTCCTGTTAATTACCTCCATCCTTCTCCATGTCCTTACTTCCTTACGTGTCCGATTGAACCACAATTTCCATACTCTATTGCCTCTCTGGCAGGCAATAGTGTCGACCGACGTAATTTAAAGCGAAATCGGCTCACGAAAGTGACGTACTGTCCCGTTTTCTGTTGTGGGTCCTCTGGCTTAGGCTGTTAGGTTAGTAAAACTTTCAATTAACGTTTATTCATAACGTTTTGAAACCTTAGGAGAACTAACTGCCTTCCTAATCTACCAGAGAACTCTTGCTGCTTTGGGGAAAAAAATAAGAAATTTATTTTTAATTATTTTCCATTTTTAAATTGCGGCCTTTTTTGGACGCAGCGCATACGAGGGAAAAGCGACGTAATATATAAGAGGACAGGTTGTAGATGCAAGGTTGTAGAGAGGCAAGGTTGTAGAGAGGCAAGGTTGTAGAGAGGACAGGTTGTAGAGAGGCAAGGTTGTAGAGACAAGGTTGTAGAGACAAGGTTGTAGAGAGGACAGGTTGTTGAGAGACAAGGTTGTAGAGAGGACAGGTTGTAGAGAGACAAGGTTGTAGAGACAAGGTTGTAGAGAGGACAGGTTGTTGAGAGACAAGGTTGTAGAGAGGACAGGTTGTAGAGAGACAAGGTTGTAGAGAGACAAGGTTGTAGAGAGGACAGGTTGTTGAGAGACAAGGTTGTAGAGAGGACAGGTTGTAGAGAGACAAGGTTGTAGAGACAAGGTTGTAGAGAGGACAGGTTGTTGAGAGACAAGGTTGTAGAGAGGACAGGTTGTAGAGAGACAAGGTTGTAGAGAGGACAGGTTGTAGAGAGACAAGGTTGTAGAGACAAGGTTGTAGAGAGGACAGGTTGTTGAGAGACAAGGTTGTAGAGAGACAAGGTTGTAGAGAGACAAGGTTGTAGAGAGGACAGGTTGTAGAGAGACAAGGTTGTAGAGACAAGGTTGTAGAGAGGACAGGTTGTTGAGAGACAAGGTTGTAGAGAGGACAGGTTGTAGAGAGGACAGGTTGTAGAGAGGCAAGGTTGTAGAGAGACAAGGTTGTAGAAAGGACAGGTTGTAGAGAGACAAGGTTGTAGAGAGACAAGGTTGTAGAGAGACAAGGTTGTAGAGAGACAAGGTTGTAGAGAGGACACGTTGTAGAAAGGACAGGTTGTAGAGAGACAAGGTTGTAGAGAGACAAGGTTGTAGAGAGACAAGGTTGTAGAGAGGACAGGTTGTAGAGAGACAAGGTTGTAGAGAGACAAGGTTGTAGAGACAAGGTTGTAGAGGCAAGGTTGTAGAGACAAGGTTGTAGAGAGACAAGGTTGTAGAGAGACAAGGTTGTAGAGAGACAAGGTTGTAGAGAGACAAGGTTGTAGAGACAAGGTTGTAGAGAGACAAGGTTGTAGAGAGGACAGGTTGTAGAGACAAGGTTGTAGAGGCAAGGTTGTAGAGAGGCAAGGTTGTAGAGAGGACAGGTTGTAGAGAGACAAGGTTGTAGAGAGACAAGGTTGTAGAGAGGACAGGTTGTAGAGACAAGGTTGTAGAGAGGCAAGGTTGTAGAGAGACAAGGTTGTAGAGAGGACAGGTTGTAGAGAGGCAAGGTTGTAGAGACAAGGTTGTAGAGAGGACAGGTTGTAGAGAGGCAAGGTTGTAGAGAGACAAGGTTGTAGAGACAAGGTTGTAGAGAGACAAGGTTGTAAAGAGGCAAGGTTGTAGAGAGACAAGGTTGTAGAGACAAGGTTGTAGAGAGACAAGGTTGTAGAGAGACAAGGTTGTAGAGACAAGGTTGTAGAGAGACAAGGTTGTAGAGAGACAAGGTTGTAGAGAGACAAGGTTGTAGAGAGACAAGGTTGTAGAGAGGCAAGGTTGTAGAGAGACAAGGTTGTAGAGACAAGGTTGTAGAGAGACAAGGTTGTAGAGAGACAAGGTTGTAGAGAGACAAGGTTGTAGAGGCAAGGTTGTAGAGAGGACAGGTTGTAGAGAGACAAGGTTGTAGAGAGGACAGGTTGTAGAGGCAAGGTTGTAGAGAGGCAAGGTTGTAGAGAGACAAGGTTGTAGAGAGCCAAGAGAGAGCACTACAACCCTCCCACCACAACCTCTGCCTCTCACAACAAGGCACAATATTTTATCTATGTGATCAATATTGTCCCTTATTGCTCTGTAAGTACACAACCCGCTGACAGTAATGCGCATTTCCATAACTTTCCAGTAAAAACGTTCGTTGAATTGTGAAGCAATTTACATCTGCTTTACCCACTAATGCCCACTATTTACACATGCATTTGTGTCCCCTATTTCTCTGGCGTAAATACCCGCTTCCCACTATTCTCTAAATGTCTAACTGCGAGGAGTTTTATATTGGAAATGTTCGGGGGATTTACGATTTTGTGAACCTTTTAAGCTGAACACCGCTCTCAAGCTTGGGTTCTCCATGCCTTAAGTTGTTCGTAAGTTTCTTTTTCGAACGATGTGGTAAAGTTGTAACTGTGTCACATGACAGCCGTGTCACGCGTGACAAGGCTGCAGCCGTGTCAAACATGACATGAATATAATCGCAGTGTGCCGGAGAAGATAGGAGGTGTCATTTATACAATCCCTCACAAGGTTCGAAACCTTCAAATAGAAGTTTCGGTACCCGCTCAGACGCTCTTGCATCACACGCAGAAGTTGTCTGGCGGGTAAGCGGGTACACCACTTACCCGCTGCGGTCAGTGAGTTGAGGAAGATAGGCGAAGGACTTACCTGGATCTGATGTGGAGGTCATTTCCTATCTGAAAAGACAAGATTGGGACTAATTAAGCGTCGTTGATATACGCTGCAATACCTGTGAACATTCTGATTTCCTGAAGAACACATCAGTGTTCTGATGTGTTCTTCAGGAAAGTGTGTTTCACACTTGTAATTCAAAGTGTGTTGCCTCGACTAGTAATTCGCTGCATGTCTGTACAGGTGGAATACAATGTGCAGTAGAGGTTTGTTCGTTTCTTCTACGTAAAATAAATTTGATGTTGCGAAATAATTCATGACTGCAGATTTTACGGTTGATAATTCCTATTCATTATATCTATGAACACATTTGCTTGACCGAGGGGCTCTATGTTGTTCCATGGAGCTCCTCTTTTCGTCTTGTTAGAGCAGCTGTGGTGCAACTGTGCTATGACTCTAATATGTGATTAGCTTTACCAATAAGCAAATAAACTTGTGTATAAATGAAATTATAAACTTACAAAGATGTCTAAACAAAGTTTATGATTTAGAATTTGAAATATAAAAAGAGCTAAAAAAACACCAATTAAAACACTACGCAGAAACCAATTTGCGTCTCTATAATTACCAATTAGCCGGTCATAGTTTCACAAATAGCGATTAACGGCGATAGTGAAGATAAAATTGTCACATTGTCAGTTAATAAAGTCGATTGTGTGTTAGTAGGAGGAAGGGAATTATCAGGGGGGGGGGGAAGACCTTGGACCAGATTCACGAAGTAGTTACGCAAGCACTTACGAACCTGTACATCTTTTGTCAATCTTTGGCGGCTTTGTTTACAATTATTAAACAGTTAATGAGCTCCGAAGCACCAGGAGGCTGTTTATAACAATAACAACAGTTGATTGGCAAGGTTTTCATGCTTGTAAACTGTTTAATAAATGGAACCAAAGCCGTCAAAGATTGAGGAAAGATGAACACGTTCGTAAGTATTTGCGTAGCTGCTTCGTGAATCTGGCCCCTATCTCAGCTCTTTGTCCTCATATCTCAGCTCTTTGGCCTCATATCTCAGCTCTTTGTCCTCATATCCCAGCTCTTTGTCCTTATATCTCAGCTCTTTGGCCTCATATCTCAGCTCTTTGGCCTCATATCTCAGCTCTTTGTCCTCATATCTCAGCTCTTTGGCCTCATATCTCAGCTCTTTGTCCTCATATCCCAGCTCTTTGTTCTTATATCTCAGCTCTTTGGCCTCATATCTCAGCTCTTTGTCCTCATATCCCAGCTCTTTGTCCTTATATCCCAGCTCTTTGTCCTCACATCCCAGCTCTTTGTCCTCATATCCCAGCTCTTTGTCCTCATATCCCATCTCTTTGTCCTCATATCCCAGCTCTTTGTCCTCACATCCAAGCTCTTTGTCCTCATATCCCAGCTCTTTGTCCTCATATCCCAGCTCTTTGTCCTCATATCCCAGCTCTTTGTGCTCATATCCCAGCTCTTTGTCCTCATATCCCAGCTCTTTGTCCTTATATCCCAACTCTTTGTCCTTATATCCCAGCTCTGTCCTCATATCCCAGCTCTGTCCTCATATCCCAACCCTTTGTCCTCATATCCCAGATCTTTTTCCTCATATCCCAGCTCTCTGTCTTTATATCCCAGCTCTCTGTCCTCATATCCCAACCCTTTGTCCTCATATCCCAGCTCTTTGTCCTCATATCCCAACCCTTTGTCCTCATATCCCAGCTCTTTGTCCTCATATCCCAACCCTTTGTCCTCATATCCCAGCTCTTTGTCCTCATATCCCAACCCTTTGTCCTCATATCCCAGTTCTTTGTCCTCATATCCCAACCCTTTGTCCTCATATCCCAACCCTTTGTCCTCATATCCCAGCTCTTTGTCCTCATATCCCAACCCTTTGTCCTCATATCCCAGCTCTTTGTCCTCATATCCCAACCCTTTGTCCTCATATCCCAGCTCTTTGTCCTCATATCCCAGCTCTTTGTCCTCATATCCCAGCTCTTTGTCCTTATATCCCAGCTTTTTATCCTTATATTCCTTCCATGCGCTAAAAAGTAAAAAAAATAGTATTGGCCTGGTTCCTTGACCTCATAATTACGTGTCCTGCCTGTTCTCATAGCCATGAGTGGACAGGGGACAGCTTTACATAAACATTGATTGGTCTACAGAAAACAGTTTACATATATGTTTTCCTTAAATTGTTTTACTGGCAAGATGCCATATGCTTCAGAACTGAAGCGTGGTGAATTTAACGACCCCCTTACAAATCTGTCACCATTACGCCCCTTACACCCCCTTATATTTCCACCCATACACCCCCTTATATTTCCTCCCATACACCCCCCTCATAAGCCCCACCTTCACTCAATAATCCTCAGAATCCCTCACACCGAAGGAGACATACTTGGGATTAGGTATGACCCATAAACAGCCAGCGCCATATGCTAAATTGGCCAGCGTTTGTCTTATACTCAAGGCCAAATATGAAACGTACGTGAGACCAATCCGTGAAGATGCAGCGCCGGCATGGATCACCTACCTGAAAAGCACAAAACTAGAAAATACGCACCGCTAAGATTGTCCTTGAGCTAAGCGGGCAGAGCTACAAGACTGAGGGAACTGGACCCATCACACTGAAGACCAAGATAAATGGAACACGATTATCTTGAGGTTATCTTGAGATGATTTCGGGGCTTAGCGTCCCCGCGGCCCGGTCCTCGACCAAGCCTCCACTCCCAGGAAGCAGCCCGTGACAGCTGACTACCTCCCAGGTACCTATTTACTGCTAGGTAACAGGGGCATTAGGGTGAAAGAAACTCTGCCCATTGTTTCTCGCCGGCGCCCGGCATCGAACCAGGGACCACAGGATCACGCGTCCAGTGTTCTGTCCGCTCAGCCGACGGCTCCCTAACGATAACACCATTTAAGATCTGAAGAGGAATTGATAGTTAAGAATGAGTGTTCAATGATAGCAAGAGAACAATGTTTGTTCTTTCCTGGAAACTATACAACCCAAGTCCTCTTAAAAACACACAGATAACGTAAAGGATAAAAAAAAAGCAGTTCTTTTCTAAAAACATTTTTTTAACCAGCTCGTATGCGCTATGGCTTATGGATGGAACCAAAAATATGACAACCAACAGGTGGACGTAATTTGAAATGAAATCGACTCACCAAAAGTGGATTTCAGTACTGTATGTACCGTGCACAACCCGTTTTAAAAATAACTGTTTGATGCGCACTATGGCGTCCGGCGTACTGTTCCGTTTTCTGTTTGACGTCCGGCTTACTCGGAAAGGTTAGGAGAGGAAACTTTCAATTAACGTTTTTCATAACGTTTTGAAACTTTATGAGAATTTCCTGCCCACCTAACCTATCAGAGGACCCTTAACTTACTGTTGTTGAAAAAAAAATCCCAAATTTATTTTCATTTTTTTTTCATTTTCAAATTACGTCCACTTTCGGCCATACGGGTAAACGGCCAAAAGCGACGTTATTTTTAAGAGGACAGGTTAGGTGCATGAGACTCATTAAGTACAGTGACAAGTGTCTTAAATATAGACTGCCACATATGTTCAACATGTGTGTGTGTGTGTGCTGAGTGAAGCGGAAAGCACTGAATCACCCCTTCTCTCGCTGCTCTGATGGGCTGGGTAGGGGGGGGGGGGTTATTGAGCCCAGCTTCCAACCCCCTTACCCATCCCTTCACAGCTCTGATGGGCAAGGGGGGGTACTGAGTCTACACCTCCTCCTCCCTCTCTCTCTCTCTCTCTCTCTCTCTCTCTCTCTCTCTCTCTCTCTCTCTCTCTCTCTCTCTCTCTCTCTCTCTCGCAGCTCTGAGTGGGTGCTGCTGAACCAATATGTTATCTGTTCTGAGGGAAAAGTATTATCAAACAGCGCTGAGAAGTTTATTTAGCTTCTAAATATAGTTCGAGCCAGACCTGGGGCCAGGTCTAACAACGTTAGAGATTGTATGTGGGCTCTCTCGGCATGTGGGGCCCCTCTTCATGTGGGCCCCCCCCCGCTCCATGTGGGGCCCCTCCACATGTGTGGGGCCCCCTAGCTCTTGTCCCACCCTATTCAAACAAATAATATGTCGAGCTCTATAAAACGTCTACTTGAATGCCAAGTTACGATCTCTGCGACTCGTTATCCCTCGCCTTGTGATATCTAGCGTTCATATCTTACTCTTATAGCTCAGCACACAGCTCAGACCACTATAGTCTGGTGGCACGGCGCTGGAGCCTTTTATGCTGGTGCTGCACACTCCTCTTTTGGTCTTACGTATGTGGCATATAATATTTTTTTTTAGGATTCCCTGTTGAAAGTCCTGAAGGCAATCCTTACATAAACCAGCCTTGCATACGGCTGATGTTATCAAGTTTGTGTGTGTTTCAGGTGATAAGAAATTTAACAGCCATTGTAGAATCTTCTCATTAACTTATTCAATTGGCGGTTTTGAACTACTCTATCTCCTGGTCCTTGTTTCATAACCTTGCATTTATTAGGGGGTTAAACTCTAGTAGCCATGTTAACGACCAATCCTGTAAGTTATACCAGTCAGTATACACCTATATCATTCATTCTTCTCAGGTTATATTCTCATCACACTTACGGCATAAGCAGATAAATCTGCTTACTTTAAATCTGCTTAGATTTATCTCACATATAAATCTTATATGTGAGATAAATCTACATTTCTGTTTCTCCAATTCTCTCTGTCATCAGTCTCTGTGTTCCCATCTGTTGCTGTGTCTCTGTGTTTCTCTGTCAGACCACACTCCCCCTACACGTACGTCAGACCACACTCCCCCTACACGTACGTCAGACCACACTCCCCCTACACGTACGTCAGACCACACTCCCCCTACACGTACGTCAGACCACACTCCCCCTACACGTACGTCATGACCACACTCCCCCTACACGTACGTCACCACACTCCCCCTACACGTACGTCAGACCACACTCCCCCCTTCACGTACGTCAGACCACACTCCCCCTACACGTGCGTCAGACCACACTCCCCCTACACGTACGTCAGACCACA